CTTTTTCTAGTACTAGAAAAAGGATTACTAGAAAAGTTATTAATGCACACGCTTGTCTTACTTGTACCAGTAAAGATCTAATATACTGTTAGCCCTGAAAGATGGGGTGCACACAGCACAGTAACAGGGTTGTTTTTGTGGACTTATTGGTAACCATGTGGGACTGGCTGTTCCCATGGTAGCACAAGCAGGAATTTAAAGGCACCTCATGGTGCTTTCAGAATGACTTGCATGTCCCTCTGAGGTGCTTGTCTCCCTTCTTTGCTTCTAATAAATCCCTTTGATTAAAGTATGTTCTTTGAAGTGCGCTACTCTGCCCCTAATTTGTGTTAAGATTATCCCTGTGTGAAGGTCACAAAAAAGTCAGCAGATCTGAAAACTTCTAATCTCATAAATGTCAGCACAAAAGATGTGCTGACATCTTTTGTGCAGCACACCAAAATTAAAAATGCTTGTTAACATGCCAAATCTTTACACACACTGTTAGCATGGTTTGTTCTGTTTTCCTTTGAAGACCGCAGTGCTTGGTGATGACAGGGTATCCCAACTCTCGTCCTGCTCTCCTGGATCTTGTTCACACCTTTACAAAGAACGTTGGCCTTATGATCTGTGGCCATGTCCGCATGGTGAGTTCTGTTTTTTTTCCTTTTTTCATGTTTATAAAGATGTACTGGGGGAAATTGACGATTGGAAACTGTACAGTTCAATAAAAACTTGTGAACATACGTAATGTTTTGGACATGTAATGGAAAGGGCTAATTGTCACTCTAACAACAATCACATCTATTAGCAGGAATGGGTAACACTTTATTTGAAGGGGTGTGCATAAGACTGACATGACACTGTCATAAACATAACACCTGTAATGAAAATAAAGTCTTTATGAAATTTTATGACAGTTGTCATGAAGTGTCATTCGGTAAATAATGACACTTTTAATGCAAAGTTGCTCTAAAAGTTGCATTGAAAGTCCATTAAAAATGCCAACTTTGCATCAAGTTATAATTTACAAAATCATGCAATGTTGGCATTTTTAATGGACTTTTAATGCAACTTTTAGAGCAACTTTGCATTAAAAGTGTCATTTGTTTTAAACTCTATATAATAAGATCTGCTGTAAACCTGTTGCCACTGGAGCTGCACTATCTACAGTGGAGTTTGAAAAGCCTTCATGTTTTAGTTTTCCCACATTTCAGAAGTTTTGATTCAAGTGACAGAATTATTTCTGATCTCTCAGGGAATCCGAGGGAATAATTGATCAGGTGTGATGCTGCAGCAGGGAAACGGTTACAACATACAGGATAATGAGACCTCTGCAATAAAAACATCAGTTATCCATAATTGCAAAGAAGTTGTTGTGTTTGCATGCTTAGCAAATCCCCTGCTGGGCATAAATGTTTCGCAACTGAAAGGCCTTGTTGAGCGGATGAATGCAGCCTCTGTGCAGTTTTCACTGGCAGCAGCCCTCTAGCTGTGGCCTCTTGTTTGCTCTCCTGCTTGGTTCTGTTGCTTCCATTAGGTATGAAAATGAACTTGGCTCAAGTTAAATGGCATAAACATTCCCAGCTAATAGCATTACACTTTCCTGGCTGAAGAGCTGGATTGTTCACCCGCCCTTCATTTAAAAAAAAAATAAAAAAAAAAAAAAAAAAAAAAAAAGTCTAAATTAAGGTTCATTTATAAAATCATAATTTTATATCGTTTACATTAGATGTCACATTAATTTGCAACATCCCATTAGTTTTTCCGTGAGCCATAACTTTGAGCCGAAGGGTAGATTAGCTCAGTATTTAATAAGCACAAGATGTCTACATGGAGTTATGTATCAGCAGTGATGAACGGAAGGTTTTGTTGTTTTCCAGCAGGGCTATAGAAAGCCAAACTTCAAAGACCTTGCAGCAGATCAGTCCAGGTACCAGCGCTGGCTAATGAGGAATGAGACCAAGGCCTTCTACACACCAGTGTTTGCTGAGGACCTGAGACAGGGTTCCCAGTACTTGCTCCAGGTGAGAAACTAGTTCAGTTTTCCTAGCCTCCATTTGTCTGTGTGCAGCAATTCTTGAAACATTACCTTAAAGTTTGCTGTATTGGTTCTTCAACCATTCCAACAAAAATGCTGGTGTTTTTATGTACTTATTTCCTAAGATGATAAATAAATAAAGCCTTGACATAATTAAGGAGTTAGCTAAAGTGAGTGTCAAGAACGTCACTGAATGCATTTGGATCACTTTTGTTCCCCAAGACAAAAATGGCAAAATCAAAGCCAGATATTTGATTTTGCCAAATAGGCAAAATCAAATATTTGGCACGTAATTATAAACACACTAAATTCATGTCTAAAATTAACGCTCTTATTTTAGCGTTGTTAGCAGCTGACCACTTTGCTGTGGCCCTCATTTCCATAGAGATAAGGAATTGACCCCAAATCAGGTGAAGTCTTTCAGAAAATCCCTCTTGATACTGGCGCAGGTTGCTGAAGTACTCAGACTTTTCCCACTGAGAAAAATTTTATTTTTCTCATTCCTGAGAAAAATAAAATTTGACCAGACACTTCGAAGAGGCTCTGATGCCAGGGGCAATATAAGGAGTTATGTGTGCTAATACGGGCTGTAATCGAACATTTTGACTCATCTGTTTGTAACTTCAACATAAGTGAACTTGGACTACAAAATTACTGTGAGGAAAAAATATTAAATTGGTGGATTCACAAATTTGATTTGCTGAAAGTCATGACCTTGTTTGGCAGTTCTACAGCAAATGCGGTGACGTCATAGACAAGAAAAACGTTATAGGCAAAAGAGAAAAATTAACAGACTGAAAAATATAACCCAAAAAAATATAAAGATATCTACAGAGAACCGGGAGAGAATAAGTAAATTTGCATCCACAGTACACAAAAAATCTATTAAGGGACAAAAAAGTGGATTTTCCATGATATGTATTCCCCTTAAGTCTAATTGCTAAATCCCAGCAATTTTGAAGGTCATTTTTAATGGTGAGTCATTGATAGTATTAAACCTTCAAACTCAAGTGCTAAAGCTGAAAATTACTAGTCCATGTATTAATTAGGTTAATTCACAACTTGCCCCCCAAAAATAAGCATGTAACTGAACGGCTTTCATTCAATAGAAGCATTTCCAAACTTGTTGCTCAAAAATAAATGCTTGTTATACTTTGTAATGGCAGCTTAGTAGGTGGCATACAGTCTCAACCAGCGTTTAGCCGCTGCCGCTGGTTTAGGAGGTACTGCCTAAACCAGCGCAGGGGTCACAGCGCCCCCCTTTTGTTTTCAAAAGGGGGGCGCTGTGACTCCTTTTTGGGGCGTTTACTCGAAGGTAAACTTTACACCTTATATGCACAACAATACCAGTTTAGACTTTGAGCAACTTGCTAAAACTGTGTTGTGTAACATTAAACATGCCTGGCTGTAACTGTATCGATGGTAGCTCTTCTTCTCCTCAGTGTTTGTTAGCTTCTTGGCGCAGCTCTGCACTCCTGCTACTAGTAACTTCACCACATCAGTTCGGCGTTACACCGGCTGATGACGTTGCTGTGATTCACTTGTCTGGTGTCTGATTTTCAAATATTTTATGTTTTATTGAGGATTTTTGTACAAATGTTATGGCAGTGCTATGATCATGTCAAAAAGTGTTTTAATGTTCGTCTGGATGCTGCCCGCTTCCATGGAAGGACAACAGAAAATCACT